TTCTGTCTCTTAAGACTCTAGGTGTCTCGTGGCCCAGGCATGCCTCCTGCTGAGTGAGCACTCTTTAGGGCACGTCTGCCTCAACTCTGCTGAGATCCAGCAACCAGAGATGGACATGGGCAATGCTTGGCAAGCCCATGGAACGAGACTCCCTAGGCAACTGAATCAACTAGTTTGAAGTTACAAACTCACCATATGTTGGTCAGCTGGAACCTTAGTGATGGGCTGGTCCAACCCCTCTTGTTGTATAGCCAAGTCACTTGTGCAAAGCCACCACTTGGCTGGGACCCCAAGCTCAGGCCAGGGCTCTCTCCATGGTCCCAGGCTTTACACTAAGGGCATGCCAACTGTTCTCTAGAATCGCCTGGACTACTTTACACTTTTGTGTCTCCTTTCCCTATTCTGTATTACGGAAAAACAAAAATGTTCTCCTTGTAATTGAACAGAATCTTCACATTGTGTTATTGCTGGTATTGCTCTAAATCCAGCCTTGGTTCATCCCAGGCTGGAGTGAATGACTTTAATTTTATCAGCTGCTGTATGCCCCTGGGAACCTCCAAAGGGGAACTTATGGCCTTTAAGGCCCCTTTCCACCCTTAGATCCTGACTTGGGGCCAACGCGTGCTCCAGCTCAAACTCGTTCATGTCCAGATAAGAGGCCATGGCAAGGGTTCCCCCTGCTGGGGCCCTGTTGCTGTTGAGAGGATCAAGGCAGCAGTCAGGGCCTGAGGCTTGTCCAGAAGAAAGCAAAAAGTGTACCGAGTGCTGGTCTGACAGCACTTAGGGGTGTGACAGAAACCTTGTCATGGAACCAGAGATTGGAGACCATGAGAGCACATCCAAATCCACATCTCCGTGACAAGGTGATGCTGATTTCCAATGGTCTTCCCTGGTGGGGGAATCATGAAGCTCTGAGTCTGGAGTGTGCTCTTGTGTTTCAATATGAACTTGTCTGAGGCCCTAGAATTCCTCCCTCATGGAACCATGATGCCTCCCAACGCAGGACATCCCACGCTGCAAGCCTGTCCCTTCTGCCCGGCTTTCTTACCCCCACACCCCAAAAGTACACAGCAGGGCCTGCCAGAGGCTGATGACACATCTGTCACTGTCCCAAGGGGATAGGGACAGCAATGGAAATATTAGGCCCCAAAAGGCATGGCTGCAGGCACATATGAGGTAAACATCGAAAGACAGATGTCAATGAAATAGTAATTAGGTGGAATGGGAGAGGTCATATTCTCATATAAGACTGTATAAATAAATAAGCCTCCTTGCATACAATCCCGCCAGAAGACAATGGCTCATGCTGAGCCAGCTAGTAAACTGTCTTGTTAAGAACTGCCAACACACACACACACACACACACCCCTCCACACATGTGCACACACATATATACAGATACACATGCACACGTGCATGTACACACTCATGCACACACACATAGATACACATACACACACACAGATGTAGACATACATGCACACACACACGAGCATGCACACATACAGACATGCACGCATGTGTGCACACACATATGCACATGCACACACAGACACACATGTGCACGCACACAGACACATGCATACACATGCACATGCACACACAGGCACATGTGCATGCACATGCACACACATGGTCACACATTCACATATGCACACACACATGCACACATACACATGCACACCACTTCTCCTTTTCCATTTCTCTAATTTCCAATTTTTTCTATGATCTTCCTCAGACTCACGATCTTGATTCTAGAATGAATTCAAGGAGTACGTCTTCATTACTGACACAACAGTGAATTCAAACATGCCTAAGAAGCTTTTTCAATGTTGGGAAAACCATCTCACAGATCATTCAAATGGCCCCACGAGACACTGTTCACCAGGGACCCTTGGACATCCTCCTGTCCCTCCTGTCAACCTCTGTGCTTCAATATCAGGGACAAACCTCTCGATTTCTGTTTCTCTTGCTGTCCCCATGTACGCTGGACTGCACTACTGTGTCAAAGCTACTTGCAGACTGACTTGGGAGATGTGCTTTTGGATTCACTCCATCTACCACCTATTTGGATGGTTTGGGCTGGAAACTGCTCTGCTCACACTCTTGGCTCCTAGCTGCTCCTGCTTCGGGGCTGTCTAGAGACCCCAGCTCAGCCTGTGGGTCACATGTGCACAGTGGGGCCAGGGATGCTACTGAACGTTGTCTGGGCACTTTTCTCCAGCAGCAGCAAGGATAGAGCTCAGCAGTGTGTGACACTGGCTGGTGGCCAATGCCTGTTTAGGCCGAAATCCCCCAACCTGATGTCTACATGCATCTCTGTGGCACACTGGCCTGCGCGGACCCCTGAGAATGTGCTGCGTGCTTCCCACATCCAGGGTGGCCGCCCAGACAGCAACACAGACATGCGAAGAAAACCCACAGGCAAGTCCAGAGGCGCCCATTCCATTGGGACCTTGTGAGCCTCCGTGATTTGAGTCATGAGCTTCTTGTGGTGATTACATTTAGCTAACATCCAACATAGTGCATTTAGAGACTCCTTCTCTTGGACATTTTATGGAGGTGTGGTCATGGCTTGCTGAGATAAATATCCCAAAACACCCCTCAATAAAACCAAGTAACAGCTCATCAAATCCTTACATTTAACAAAATTTGACATCTTATAAGTAACAAATACTAGATGACAATAAGGCACAGGAAAAAGCTCATAAGCCCAGATGAGTAGTCATCATTCAATTGTTCCTTAACTACTGACCATGCACCTGTTCTGACCAGAACCGCATGCTAGATACAGGGACATAACACAAAATAAGATGACAAACACCTGACCCTATGGAGCTGAGACTCTAGCAGGAGAGACTGGCACTAAACAAGTAACTCTATCCTGTGGTTTCTGGGAATGACAATCACATAAAAGGATAGAAAGGGATGGAGGGAAGCTAATTTAGACAACTCAGGATCAGTGTGAGTGTGTGTGTGGGGGGGGTGTTGGTGGTTGCATCCCTCAAAATTCAGAGTAGCTGGAATTCAAGCCTTGTATTAACTGAGCCTGAATCACGGTCCTGCCACTGTCCATGGTGTCCTCAGGTAAATGGCTCAACTCCTCTGACCATCAGCTCCAAGTGCAGAACAGGGGACCCTCTCAGGGTTTTTGCTATGGACTGAATGGTGTTCCCCCAATTCATTCATTAGGAGTTAATTAAGGTTAAAGAAGGTCCTAAGGGTAGAGTTCTAATCTGATAGGATTGGTGGTTGGATAAAAGGAAGAGATGTCTCTGTCTCTGCCTCTCTCTCTGCCCCTCTCTGCCATGTGAGGACAGAGCAAGAAGGCTGCTGTCTGCAAGCCAGGAAGGGAGCTCTCACCAGAAAGTGATGGGTGGATACTTTGATCATGGACTTCTGGCCTCCAGAACAGTGAGAAAATCAACGTCTGCTCTATAGGCCATCCAATCTCGGGTACTTTGTTCTGGCAGCTGGGGTGGCTGAGGCAGTTGCTGAGAGGAACTGACAAGGCAGTTGGGGTAAAGCACCCAGCATGGCCACAGCTCACTGAGTGTAATGTCAGTCTCATTCCCCTTCAATCGTTATTTTCTGGAGGATTTTCATGATGGCTTTTCTCCAAGAAGCTCTCCAGGGACTTTGTAAATATGGGGATATTTCTGACAATAAAAATTCTTACAGTTCTTAACATTGACCATGATCAGGATAAGCAAGACATGAAAGTGAGAAGGTGGTTAGAAAAGAGAGGACCCACAGAATAAACCACCAACCACACAACATACACACAGGAGGAATCCTGACGTGGGAGGACGATAGAATGGCAGGGGACCCCAAGGCTAAACTCTGCCTCTCTTGTATCGAGATCCTTTCCCGATATGGTTTGGCTGTGTCCCCACCCAAATCTCACCTTGAATTGTAGCTTCCATAATCCTGTGTCATGGGAGGGACCTGGAGGGAGGTAACTGAATCAGGGGGCAGGTCTTTCCCATGCCGTTCTCGTGATAGTGAATAAGTCTCATGAGAGTTTCCCTGCACATGCTCTCTTGCCTGCCACCATGTAAGATGTGATTTGCTCCTCATTCGCCTTCCACGAAGATTGTGAGGACTCTCTAGCCGTGTGGAACTGTGAGTCCATTAAACCTCTTTCCTTTAGAAATTACCCAGCCTCAGGTATGTCTTTATTAGTAGTAGGAGAACAGACAAATACATTCCCTAAGCCTCTGTTTTCCTCTGAGACAGACTTACCCCAAATAGTCCCATCTCTAGCAGGCCTCGAATAGTAAGCTGTTACGTGTTATATTAACATGTATTTTACTGAAGGTCTCCGGTTTTCGTCTCTCTGAACATAGGCAGGCATTGCTGAAACTTGCAGATGACATTCCAAAATGCATTCTATCTTAAGCTAAGCGGAGAGGGTGGTGAGGAAAAGACTGTACATACCTTCCCCTCAATGAAGAGGTCCCTGCAGTGTGGCTGGCTTTGGTATAAGCTTTTTGGCTCTGCTAATTCATGAGGGCTGAGTCTGATTGATCCTCATGGGCAAGATTAACAAGGGAATCCTTGGTAACCGTCAGGAACAACACTTATGACTCAGAAAGTGGCTCTGTGTTCATGGGGTATGATCCGTCTTGTTTCCTAAGTGACCTTCTGGCTCATTTTTCTCCCAGCCAGGGTTGGAATTCAATAATCCAGTTCCTTCCCAAACTTTAGACCTGGGAAATGCATTCCTCAGGTTTCTGCTTTTCAAAAGCGAAAATGTCTGTCTACTCCTAAACAGTGTGGCTTTGTCTGTGTGTGTGGTTCCCTTACTGGCTGCCGCCTGGTTGCGACTGTGCCTGAACTCAGGCCCCTGTTTCTGAATCTTAGAAGGCGGTGGTTGGCATGTCAAACTTGAAGTCATCGTTCCTAGTCGTCTGAGTGTTGCAATTGAACAGCACGTTTATCAACAAGACTTTAGTGAATCCATTAGCACTCTAAGAAGCTTCGATTCGTTGACCTACCTCTAATGTAAGCAAAGGCTGCCAGAGAGTTGCTAACAAGAATTCCATCTTTCCTCAGAACCCTCGATCCGCTTGGGTCGAAGTTTATATCTGTTTCGTGAAAAATGCAAGACCAATTAATCACAGTTGTTCATAGTTCGCCTATCCTAAGAGGCCCCTGCTGCTCCTACCCCGGCACTGCCGGAATAACTACAAGTCACAGAAATCAAACAAATGGGCCTCTGGCTAAATTATGGAAGATTAACCCAGGAAGAGCACTTATTAAATAGTTAGCAACAAAAAAATTTTTAAAAAAATTAATAAATAGTAAGCAGTCCCTGAAAATATTAAAGCACAAAAATGATTAGAAATTTTTTTTAAGTATTGATTCCAACTTTAGGTGTCCATCTTCCACTCCACTGCAAAAGGGAACAAATGGATTTTCCCATACTAAAGGCAGGGACATTCATCATGCCCCTTGGAGGCTTAACAACATCTCACTTTATTTTATTTTATTTATTTATTTTTTGAGATGGACTTTTCACTCTTGTTGCCCAGGCTGGAGTGCAATGGCGCAACCTCGGCTCACTGCAACTTCTACCTCCCGGGTTCAAGCGATTCTCCTGCCTCAGCCTCTGGAGTAGCTGGGATTACAGGCATGCGCCACCACGCCCAGCACATTTTTGTATCTTTAGTAGAGATGAGGTTTCACCATGTTGGCCAGGCTGGTCCCGAACTCCTGACCTCAGGTGGTCCGCTTGCCGTGGCCTCCCAAAGTGCTGGGATTACAGGCATGAGCCTCTGTGCTTAGCCAATAATATCTCACTTTAAGCATGAAGTTGCTGTCCATTGTGTGACTAGAGATAAAAGCCTCCATTAGGGAGGGAGGTTGTATTGGGCTATTTTTTTTGGAAACGACAGCAAAATGTGGGGCAGATCTGCTTTTAGATGCTGGTTACACTGCTGGATGGAGCTAAGCAAGCCTGCGATGGGACATCCTGGGGGCCTGGGGGACGCCTAGCGATGTCAGACAGGACCGATGCCTCTGAGGACAGATGGCACAGCTCTAGCCCTCAGGTCCTCACTGCAGGGGGACCAGGTTGTTCAAGGATCAAGTGGGAACCCTGTTAGAAAAATAAGTGGAGAACGGGTACGGTGGCTCATGCCTGTAATCCCAGCACCTCGGGAGGATGAGGTGGGTGGGTAGCTTGAGCCCAGGAGTTTGAGACCAGCCAGGGTAATACGGCAAAGGCTTGTCTTTATTTATAATAATAATAATATAAATAAATTAATTAGTTAATTTTTTTTTTTTGAGACGGAGTTTCACTCTTGTTACCCAGGCTGGAGTGCAATGGCGCGATCTCGGCTCACCACAACCTTCGCCTCCTGGGTTCAGGCAATTCTCCTGCCTCGGCCTCCTGAGTAGCTGGGATTACAGGCACGCGCCACCGTGCCCAGCTAAGTTTTTTTGTATTTTTAGTAGAGACGGGGTTTCACCATGTTGACCAGGATGGTCTCGATCTCTTGACCTCGTGATCCACCCGCCTCGGCCTCCCAAAGTGCTGGGATTACAGGTGTGAGCCACCGCGCCCAGCCTAATTAGTTAATTTTTTTTAAAAAAGAAAGAGAAGTGGAACTAAGGAACACAGAGCCTGCCAGAAAGCACAGGACACAGGGGAACATTACCGATAGTTCTCTCTGAGCTTCTGGACTAGGGATGCTTTCATGTGTTTTCATATCAAGCATACTTTTATACTTAGTGGGGAAAGACCTAATACATATAATATAAGTAACACAAGAAAAGACTCTCACCAAAGCCTAACATCTTAGAAGCTCTGCTGCGTCTCTGCAAATTCTATCGGGACCCCATGGGTTTGAACTCCATTCTAGATTTGACAAGAAAATCCAAATGTCCAACCCCCTCAAAGCCCCACCCTTCCAACCCCATTTACAAAAGCCAAGTGAAAACTAGGGAGGGGCTGGGAGTGGTGGCTCAAGACTGTAATCCTAGCACTCTGGGAGGCTGAGGCAGGTGGATCACCTGATGTTGGGAGTTTGAGACCAGCCTGATTAATGTGGTGAAACCCCATCCCTACTAAAAACACAAAAATTAGCCAGTGTGGTGGTGGGCACCTGTAATCTCAGCTACTTGGGAGGCTGAGGCAGGAGAATTGCTTGAACCCGGGAGGTGGAGGTTACAGTGAGCCGAGACTGTGCCTCTGCACTCCAGCCTGGGTGACAAAAGCAAAACTCCATTTCAAAAAAAAGAAAGGAAGAGAGAAAACTAAGGAGGAAGGTGGCTCAGGTCCCAGCTGGCCCTGGGGCCCGTGTAGGTTCCAATGACCTCAACTTTGCAAAAAGCTCATTGTGTAATCCAGGAAGCCAAAATTTATTTCTGAGTGGATGTCTTTTCAAAGTGACTTTCATTTTAGGAAGTGAGAGGGGAACAAAGGGATGTGCACCCTACTTCTGATTTAAAAAAAAAAAAATCAAAACAAAATAAGTGGTGTTCACCATTTGCAATGGTCGGTCAAAGTATTGTCATCACCAGGACCGGGACCTCAAACACACCTCCTGACAGCCCCTTCCATGCTAACCAAGGTGTGCCCAGCTGTGGTCACCCAGGGGCTGTTTACCTTTACGTTAAGAGAAATGCTGGTAGTAAGCCATAAAAATTACCATATTCACCATCTTTCTGCTTCAAAGAAGGTTTTAGATTAGCAATGCCTGGATCGATCGCTGTGAGTATGTTCTTGGGAACTAAAAGCCAAAAAGAAACATTTTACATACTTGGTATATTTTTAAAATGTGTACTCTTAATATATTTTTAAATGCAATGTAGATAAGATTTTAAAATCACTTTCCAAATCAGTGCAAGAAGCACTCACTCGTCCTGTTAGATACACATTCATACACACCACCCAGTGGTATCCACGTGATCATCAAATGCCCCACAGAGATGGTTTTAGGCCCATTTTGCAATATTAAAAAAATAACAAGGCTGGCACAGTGGGACATGCCTGTAATCCCAGCACTTTCGGAGGCCGAGGCAGGCGGATCACAAGGTCAAGAGATTGAGATCATCCTGGCCAAGATGGTGAAACCCCGTCACTACTAAAAACACAAAAATTAGCTGGACATGGTTGTGCGCACCTTATAATCCCAGCTACTTCGGAGGCTGAGGCAGGAGAATCGCTTGAACCCGGGAGGCGGAGGTTGCAGTGAGCCAAGATCATGCCACTGCACTCCAGCTTGGTGACAGAGCAAGAATCCATCTCAAAAAGAAAAAAACAAAGGAGAATAAAAGCAAGATACGATATATTCATCTGGTGAATATACCTCAGTAATAAAAAGGAATAAAGGCCCAGCACGGTGGCTCACACCTGTAATCCCGGCACTTTGGGAGGCCGAGGTGAACAGATTACTTGAGTTCAGGAGTTCAAGACCAGTCTGGCCAACATGGTGAAACCCCTTCCATACTAAAAATACAAAATTAGCTGGGTGTGGTGGTGCACACCTGTAATCCCAGCTGGATGGGAGGCTGAGGCAGGGAGAATCACTGGAACCCGGAGGCAGAGGTTGCAGTGAGCACAGTTTGCGTCATTGCACTCCAGCCTGGGCGACAGAGTGAGATTCCATCTCCAAAAAAAAGAAAAGGAGTGAAGTACTGATATGATACATGCTGCAACATGGACAACCCCCTGAAACATCACGTTAAAGAAGCAGCCACACACACACACAACCATCTACTGTGTAATTCCATTGACATGAAATATTCAGAAAAGGCAAATCTAGAGACAGAAAGTAGATGAGTGGTTACCTGGGAGCAGGGGGTGGGAATAGGGGAGTGATGGCAAATGGGCACAAGGGAACTTTGGGGAATTGTGAAAAAAATTGTTTTCTAATTAAAACTGGAGAGTAGTGATGGTTGCACAACTCAGAATTTACTCAAAATCATTGAATTGTATTCACTTGTAATAGAAATTTTAAGGTAAATAAACAACACCTCAGTGTAGTGGTTAACTCTGGGCTGAATGTGGTGGCTCACGCCTATAATCCCAGCACTTTGGGAGGCTGAGGCAGGTGGATCACTTGAGGTCAGGAGTTCGAGACCAGTCTGGCCAACATGGTGAAATCCCATCTCTATTAAAAATACAAAAATTATTGTGTGCTTGCTCCTCCTTCTTGAATTTCTCCTGCTGCCCTAGTCCTGCCTTGGCTATGAGGGAGATTGTGCTCACCCAAACCGGACAGTGCGGGAACCAGATCGGCACAAAGTTCTGGGGGGTGATCTCTGATGAACATGGCACGGACTCCGCTGGCGCCTACCATGGGGACAATGACCTGCAGCTGGAGCGCATCGATGTGTACTGCAATGACGCCAGCGGTGGCAGGTATGTGGCCCGCACTGTGCTCGTGGGTCTGGAGCCGGGCACCGTGGACTCTGTGCATTCGGGGCCGTTTGGACAGATCATCAGGCCAGACAGCTTCATCTTTGGACAGTGTGGGGCCGGGAACAACTGGGCCAAGGAGGACTACACAGAAGGTGTGGAGCTGATGGAGTCTGTGCTGCATGTTGTGAGAAGAGGCTGAGACCTGTGATTGCTGCAGGGTTTCCAGCTGGCCCACTCCCTGGGTGGGGGGACTGGGTCTGGGATAGGTACCCTTCTCATGGGCAAAATCCGGGAGGCGTACCCAGACAGGATCATAAACACATTCAGAGTCCTGCCCTCGTGCAAGATGTCGGACACAGCGGTGGAGCCCTACAATGCCACCCTCTCCGTCCACCAGCTCATAGAAAATACAGACGAGACATTCTGTATTGTTAATGAAGCACTCTATAGCATCTGCTCCAGGACCTTAAAACTGACCACACCCACCTACGGTGACCTGAATCACCTGGTGTCTGCTACCATGAGTGGGGTCACCACGTGCCTGCACTTCCCGGGCCCGCTGAATGCCGACCTGCGGAACGCGGCCGTGAACATGATTCCATTTCCCCAGCTGCACTTCTTCATGCCCGGCTTTGCCCCGCTGACCAGCCGGGGCAGCCAGCAATACCGGGCCCTGACCGTGGCTGAGTTCACTCAGCAACTCTTCGATGCTAAGAATATGATGGCCGCCTGTGACCCCAGTCATGGCTGCTACCTAACCGTGGCTGCCATTTTCAGAGGTCCCATGTCCATGGGGGAGGTGGATGAGCAAATGTTCAACATTCAGAACAGGAACAGCAGCGACTTTGCTGAGTGGCTCCCTCATAACGTGAAAACGGCTGTCTATGACATCCCACCCTGGGGGCTAAAAATGTCGGCCACCTTCATCGGTAACAACACAGCACTCCAAGAGCTCTTCAAACGCACCTCTGAACAGTTCACAGCTACGTTCAGGCGCAAAGCCTTCCTGCACTGGCACACGGGTGAGGGCGTGGATGAGATGGAGTTCACCGGAGGCCGAGAGCAGCCTTAATACCAGCAATACCCAGACGCCGCAGCTGAGGAGGGGGAGTTTGAGGAGTGTGCTGCGAGGAGGAGGTAGCCTAGAAGCTTCCTTTTCTAGGTAAAGGGGGAAGCAGTGTGGATTCTTTAGTGTGTTCTGACAGCCATTGTCACTACGCACTTCTTTGAGTCTTCACAGCTCCTCCTGCTGCATTTTAAAGCATTTTCATAGTAAGTAGTTTGGCCTAATAAACCATTTTTATAGCAAAAAAAAAAAAAAAATACAAAAATTAGCTGGATGTGCTCACTTGAACCCAAGAGGTAGAGGTTGCCGTGAGCTGAGACTGTGCGTTTGCACTCCAGCCTGAGTGACAGAGCAAGACTCTGTGTAAAAAAAAAAAAAAAAAGAAAGAAAGAAAGAAAAAAGAAAAGAAAAAATAGGGTGGTTAGCTTTGAAGATGAGCTTTCCTGTACTTGGTAAAGCTAAATGACTGTGACCAGGTCAAAATCCAACACCTAATTCTCCCAGCTCCCACTCTTCTGTTTTCTGCCCCAAGCTCTTTGCCTCTGTTTCCATCATAAATCTGGAGAATTTGAAGACTGTGCTAAAGTGATTTGCTAAGTATTATCAGAAAGAACTACAGAAAGATGCAGATGCAGAGAGGATGGCAGCCTGACCAATTCCTTTGAAGGTGGTTTATGACTCTGCCGAACTGACCCTAAGAATAAGCCCTGAGGGGTCAGAATCCGCAGCCAAGGCAGCCGGCAGATGACAGCACCCACAGAAACAGGGCAGAGCAAGAATTCAGCAGGCCGAGCACACCGCCTCAGGCTCGGGGAAGGGCGAGGAAACCAAATATTCTTGCTGCAGAAAATGGCTTATTTTTGTTTGTTCTTCAGGCCAGCCAAGATCTCGGAAAAGTAGCAACAGGAAGTGGAAAGAAAGCAAGTTCAACTACCCGGCTGTTTAAAAAGAACGGCGGAGGGGGGCACATCTTCAATAGCAAGAAAACCTCGTTTCCGTTCTCCGAGGGCTTCACTAAATTCTTCTGGGGATGTCCCAAGATCAACAACCACAGGACATTCCTAGATTGTGAGTTTTCCATGTACAGGAGGCCCTGGCGCCTTCGAACCCATCAGCAGCAAGAGAGACTTTCCAGGGAGGCCCACGGAGTTGCTGGAGGTGGCTGATGATTTCCAGGGTCTCCGAGGAATGTCCCTGGGCTGTCCACAGGGACACTGATCCTGGGACCATGGCGGCACCGGAGAGCTGAGCTGAGCTGCTGCAAAGCGCTTTCTGCTTTAATTGCCTGTCCTTCATCTCTGGGCCCTGAGAAGGATGCCCTGATTTCCTGGCAGCAGTGAGCCCAGGAAGTGTCATCTCTGCCTGCCAGGAGTGGCACTTCTTTCTCATGTCTGACTCTTGGCATGTTCTCAGACTACAAGAACAAGGCTACAGGAGGGCCTTGGCTCTTGACAAACGCCAGAGCCTTTACAGTGTGAGAAAGAATCAGAAATTTGTAGAGGAGCTCGGAAAGGAAGGGCGTTCTAGGATGCACTTTGCAGAATAACCAGGCAGTCAAAAGAGGCGATTGGCTGTGTATGCCGCAGGCCACCGCAGGGAATGCGCCCATCTACCATGCGAAAACGGCTCTGAGATCCACAGAATCTTTTAGGACCTTTAAAATCACAGGTGTCAACACACTTGTCACATTTTTGCATCTCTTTGTTTTAGACTGGTTCAGAACGAGGTCCGGGACTGGGGAGTGATAGCTCACTGTCCCTCTCCACTTCAGATACGTTAGTGAAAACACTAGGAATCACTCTTTGTGGAGCTCCTACTGTGTGCAGGACCCTGATCTCAGCAGTTTACACCAGGGCTGTCTTCCTCATCAGCGCCTCTCCTGTCCCACTCAGCACCTCAGTGGGCTGCCACCTGCCCATCCCCAAGCGTGCCGCTACTGTACATACCCTCACTTTAAGGGAGGGTTCTCTTTGGAAGACTTAACCCCCCCCCAAGCTAAATTAGGTGCCCTCCACTGTTACAGTCTTCTGCCCTTTCCTAAAATAGCATTTGTCACAATAGGTCATGATGATAGGTCTGCCTATTTGTTTAATGCCTGCCTTTCTCCCTCAGCTGTTCATCCCATGAAGACAGGACTGTGCCTCTCCTTTTTTTTTTTTAATTGAGATAGAGTTTCACTGCTGTCACCCAGGCTGGAGTGCAGTGGTGTGATTGTGGCTCACTGCAATCTCTGCCTCCTGTGTTCAAGTGATTCCCCTGCTGCAGCCTCCCAGGTAGCTGGGATTTAGGCATGTGCCACCACACCTGGCTAATGTTTGTATTTTAGTAGAGACAGGGTTTTGCCGTGTTAGCCAGGATGGTCTAGATCTCCTGACCTCATAGATAATTTTGTATTTTTAGTAGAGATGGGGTTTCACCGTGTTTGCCAGGCTGCTCTCGAAATCCTGACCTCAAATAATGCATCCGCCTCGGCTTCCCAAAGTGTTGGGATTACAGGCATGAGCCACTGCATCCCGTCTGTGTCTCTTTGTTTATTACAAAATCCCTGGCACCCAGCACAGCTCCTGACACAAAGAACAATGTGCTGAATGAGTGATGGAAGGAAGAAAAGCTTGAAGTGGGACATGTGTCCCCAGGGCCCCAAAAGCTCATCTTCATCTCAGCATTAGTGATATAGTTTGGCTATGGGTCGCTACCCAAATCTCATGACTGCCACGTGTTGTGGGAGGGACCCGGTACGAGATGATTGAGTCATGGGGGCAGATCTTTCCTGTGCTGTTCTCTTGATAGTGACTGGGTCTCACGAGATCTGATCGTTTTAAAAACTGGGCATCTCTTTGCACAAGCTCTCTTTGCCTGCTGCCATCCACGTAAGATGGGACTTGTTCCTCCTTGCCTCCCACCACGATTGGGAGGCTTCCTAGCCATGTGAACTGTAAGTCCAATTAAACCCCTGCTTTTTTTTTTTTTTTTTTTTGTAAATTGTCCAGTCGCAGTTATGTCTTATCAGCAGCATGAAAACAGACTAATTTAATTAGGTAAGAAGAGCCTCAGCTGTACTGTTCTTGCCTCATCCTAGAAAGCACACTAGAGGCCAGGTGCGGTGGCTCACTCCTATAATCCCAGCACTTTGGGAGGCCGAGGCGGGTGGATCACGAGGTCAAGAGATCGAGACCATCCTGGTCAACAAGGTGAAACCCCGTCTCTACTAAAACTACAAAAATTAGCTGGGCATGGTAGTACGCACCTGTAGTCCCAGCTACTCGGAAGGCTGAGGCAGGAGAATTGCTTGAACCCAGGAGGTGGAGGTTGTGGTGAGCTGAGATCGTGCCATTGCACTCCAGTCTGGGTAACAAGAGCGAAACTCCGTCTCAAAAAAAAAAAAAAAATAGCACACTAGAAACTGCACCTTTTACGAAAATGTTTTAGTAAATGTTATTGTATAGAACAAACAATACATAACGATTCTGTAATGATTTTTTTCTCCCACAAGAGCAGAAGTGAAACCAGTTACTTATAAAAATATTTTAATTAGGACTCTAATAAGATGATTTGTACCTTCATACCTTGTCTTCTGAGTATCTACATGGGGAGAGGTTCACCTGAAAAAGTTTTCCTCAGGAAACCCATGGTTTCTTGGCTCAACTGACCCATTTAAAAAAGTCCACCTATATCAACTTTCTGCCTATCTGAAGATTTGTCTTCTTTGATCTCATGCCATGTGTTCATAAGCTTCTAAAATGTTTGCCAAAATTAAAGTCTGCAGGATGGGTTTGCCCTTAACCCATATTCTTCCATTCATTCCAAAAATTCTCTTCAGTGGATAGTTTTCCCACTTCTCGTACGAGTTCACCACCTGGAGCTAACAGTGTTCTACTGAAGCCCGGACACTTTAAAAAGCAGACCATCCTGTCCGGTGACATTCATCCCACTGCTCGCCCACAGCTGTCAACACAGAGCATCTCTGGTTCCACGTCTTTATCAGCAACCACACATCGGCTGTAGATGAGATCTCTGACCTGCACATTGGTCTGTTTCTTTCAGTTGCACCTTCAAATGCCACGTAAGACAAAGAAACTGGCTCCCTCCCTCCAACATCAACTTTCAATAGATCTCCAGATTTAGCTGTCACTGTGCCCATCAACTGGTCTCCTTTCTTTGGAGCATACTCTGTTCCCAGGGCTATGATGGCCTCAGCCCAGAGGTGTCTCAGCCTTCCCGGTCCCCACCTGACACTGCACCTTATTTGGAGGCTAAAGTCCTGCATCTTTTTTTTTTTAGACAGAGTTTTTTCCCTCTTGTTGCCCAGGCTGGAGTGCAATGGTGCAATCTCAGCTCACTGCAACTTCCACCTCCTGGGTTCAAGTGACTCTCCTGCCTCAGCCTCCCGAGTAGCTGGGATTACAGGCATGCACCACCATGCCCAGCTAATTTTGTATTTTTAGTAGAGATGGGGTTTCTCCATGTTGGTCAGGCTGGTCTTGAACTCCCGACCTTAGGTGATCCACCTGCCTCAGCCTCCCAAAGTGCTGGGATTACAGGCGTGAGCCACTGTGCCCAGCCAAGTCCTGATTCTTATTCAACACTCAGATGAAGAGGCCTGAAACTACTGGAACCTCAGAGTGGCCCATGCCCAGTCTACCATCCTCTGCTCTACCAGATGAGCTATCCAAGGATGTACTCAGAGTGACCTTTTTGGTCTCTGGGGGAACCTCAGCCAAAATGTGCCTCATGCTACCTAGAACTGCTTAGACATGGCAGCAGGAATAAAGACAGAGCAGGTAAAGCCATTCTTCCCGTGATGGAAGAGTGGGTGCCATTATTTTGGTAATACATTTATGTAGTCAGTTCATTATACCTGTGACAGCATTGCCATTGCAGAGAATAACATTTTTAGTTCAGGATATAAAAGTCTGAGGATGCAATGGAATAGTATTAGACCACGAAAAGGAATAAAGTACTGAGACATGCTACGACATGTATGAACCTTGAAAACGGATGCTAAGAAGTCAGGCACAGTGCACCAGGCATTGTAGATTCCATTTCTGGAAAACGTCTAGAAGAGGCAAATCCACAGAGACAGAAAGTAGATGGGAGGTTGCTTGGGGCTGGGGCAGGTGTAGTGGGTGGATCTGGGAGGCTGACTGCTGAAGGATACAAGGTTTCTTTTTGGGGGGATGAGAATGTTCTTAATTGATTGTGAGGATGGTTGCATTCTGTGCATATACTAAAAACCATTGATTTGTATGTTTTAACAGGTGAATTGTACGGTGGATTATATCTCAAAAAAGCTGTTACAAAATAAATGGCTAGGAATGTTTGGCAGGGGAAAAAGAGATTTCCAAGAGAATAGGTATCAGCTTCTTCAATTATAATGTTCTTTGCTTTCCATTTGCTTTTATGCTCATTTCAAAGAAAGAAAGAAAAAGCCAGTCAATATTAGTGTTACAAACTGGAAATGCACAGTATCCTCAGAAAATAATAAATTGCTGATCTGCTTTATGAAATGAGAAACTAAACAAAGAAGGCATTTCATTTTATCATTTAAAGACAGCAGGAAAACAAAGTTATGCTGTCCTGTAATGTTTTTATTGTTTTAGGGTAAGCATTTGATCTGTTGATTCAACACCGTGGGTCTGTAGATAAAATAGCTGTTGGCAGTCCAGAGAGTTAGTCATTTAGGGGCTAAAAGCAGTCCTGGAAGGGTACACAGGAGACACGCACCACCGCTGTGAACTCGCATGACATCTCAATACATTTTAGAGCCTCCTAAGAACCCAGATGAAAATCCCTGCCCTCCGCGACATCAGTTTACCCCGTTTGGTTGTTCTTTCTCCACCCTCCCAATTGGCTGCCAATCTGATCGCTAAAGGCGCTTTTACACAAATTTTGACCAAAGAAAATTCTATTGCTTATCTGACATGACTATCATAAACAAGAATAAGAAAGAAAAAAGGGCTCTCAGGTACCTGGGATGACCAAACAGCTTCAGGAGGAGCTGCGTTTGGCTTGTTCTGGGCAAACTCCTGCCGTTCACACCACCCTCCCCCAAAAGAGGCAGCGTGTTTGGGCAGCTGGTGGGGTGGGGGTGTGTTCTTACCACATGCGTAGGTCACAGTGAGGTATTTTTTCACGCCTGGCAAACAGGGGCTTCCAAAATGGTGATTGTTGACGACAATTTTGCATCTCTGCTTCCCATAGCACCTTCGGGATAGGACTTGCAAAGCTGAGTAAGACAAGCAATCTGAAAGGCAGGAAACGCCCAGAAGAATTTCACATTGCATCCCACACAGGGCCACCACATAGCCTATGGCATTCTCGGTAAATAAATATGCTGAGCTGGAGTCAAGTCAAACGGACAGTTTCGCTGCTTATTTTCTGTCTCATTAAAGCACCCCAGATGGGCAGAGCCAGCATCATGGTCCTGCCCGATAAGTCCTGGAGCTGCGTTTACTGCTGTGCTGGCACCGTCTTGAAATTTTTTATTTTTTATATTTTGAGACTGATTGTCGTTCTGTCACCCTACTGAAGGGCAGTGGCGTGATCTCGGTCACTGCAACCTCCGCCTCCTGGGTTCAAGTGATTCTCCTGCCTCAGCCTCTTGAGTAGCTGGGATTATAGGCACGCCACGATGCCCAGCTAATTTTTGTATTTTTAGTAGAGATGGGTGGCTCACCTGAGTTCAGGAGTTGGAGACCGAGCCTGGCCAAATCTGTAATCCCAGCACTTTGGTAGGCGGAGGCGGGCAGACCACCTGAGGTCAGGAGTTCGAGATCAGCCTGGCTGAGATGGCAAAACCCAGTTCTCAGCACTTGTTTGCTGAGAGACTACTTCTGTTTTGTTCATCATCTAATTCCCACACCTGGTCCAATAATAAAAAGTATTCGGCTACTATAGCGGGCCAGGTGTGGGAACTACCCCATGAGATAGGCTATTTGTAATACATACACATACACACACACCAATTTTGTGGCTGAGAAAGTGGACACAGTGAGGGTCAGTAACCTCACACAGCTAGAGAAGAATGGAGCCTGCAGGTTGGCCTCTGAGCTCCATGATCCCGGTCTCCATTAAAGGGTGGGTGAGGGACCGATCAGGGATGGTTTCAGATCTTAAGCTGCAGGGTTGCAGAAACAGTGGTCTATTGAGAGGTGGAGGGGGAAGTTGTTAGAAGCAGGCAGTTTGAAGGACAAGATCATACATTCATTGAAAAAGAAATTGTCCTGCATGTGAGGTGGGTCAAGGTTTTGAAGAAAAAGCTCAGATCTGGAGATGCATGTGAGGGATTCATGCCCGGAGTGCCCAAGGGCTGTGCTATGAAGACAGGCAGCTCAGGGAGAGTATGAAGGAAGGCACAGTGGTGGGGACCCCAGCCACACAAAGTCCTGTGCATGTCTGCCCTCTAACAGTTTCCAGGACCTCTCTCCAGTCTTAAGCTTTTCCTTCACAGCCAGGCTTCTGAAAAAGGTCTCTGGCCAGGCATGGTGGCTCACGCCTGTAATCCCAGCACTTTGGGAGGCCGAGGCGGTGCATCACTTGAGGTCAGGAGTTTGAGACCAGCCTGGCCAACATGGAAAAACTCCATCTCTACTAAAAATACGAAAATTAGCCAGGCATGGTGCACGCGCCTGTAATCCCGGCTGAAGCAGGAGAATCACTTGAACCTGGGAGGTGGAGGTTGCAGTGAGCCAAGACTGCGCCATTGCACTCCAGCCTGGGTGACAGAGGAGCTCAGGGTCTCTGTACCTCTACTGCTTCTCCCCCCCATCCTGTCCCCTCCCCTCCTTAATGTGCCCATGTCCCACACACACCCTGAAACCGATCCCTTTGAGATCACAGGGACCTATCACCAACCTGTCCAAGAGATGAAGGCTGGTCCTAATTGTTCCCTATCTATGGAACTGCGGGTGCCTAGAGGCCCTTGTTGAGGGATTTCTCACTGACCTCAGCTCCCTTGTGCCCATCTCCCTGGTGGTCTCTGATTCCTCTATCCCAGTGCCCTCTGCAGGCCTGCCCACCCAGAGTAAGCTTATTCCTGTGCCTGGCCCAGATTCTGATATATTTTTGAACAAGGGGCTTTGTGTTTTCATTTTGCACTGAGCCCCACAAAAGGTACTGGGTCTGGGCTCTCTTATCCTTCCTACACACTCCATTTGGCCCCGGGGCCATCCCCGTCACTACCAACCCCTGAGAGCCAAGGCTGGGATCGCTGCCTTCAGCGCTGGCCGCTAGGGCACTCTGCCATGGCAATGATCGCCTTTCCTCCTTGCAGCCTCCTCTGGCTCCTCACCTCCTATCTGCACCCGTCGTCCCCTCCTCCTCTCCCAACATGGCCTCAGTTCCAGCCCGGCCAGTGTTGCAGCAAGTCTTCTCACTGGACTCCCTTCCTCCATTTTCTTCCCTTCAAATGGTTCTCCCTTTGCTCTCCACTGTGCTCTCTCTTTTCTTTTTTTTTGAGATAGAGTCTCATTCTGTCACCCAGTCTGCAGTGCAGTGGTGCAATGTCGGCTCACTGCAACCTCCGCTTCCCAGGTTCAAGCAATTCTCGTGCCCCAGCCTACCAAGCAGCTTACAGGTGCCTGCCACCATGCTCCGCTAATTTTTGTATTTTTAGTAGAGGGGGGGTTTCACCATGTTGGCCAGGCTGGTCTTGAACTCCTGACTCCCAGTGATCTGCCTGCCTTGGCCTCCCAAAGTGCTGGGATTACACGGGTGAGCCACTGAGTCCAGCCCACTGTGCTCTTTATAATCTCATCACTCCCTACCTGCTTAAGATCCCCACCACCCATCTGACCAAATCCAACTCCTCAGAACTGTGCACAAGACCCCACGTGACTTGCCTTTTCTACCTTCCTAGCCTCTCCACAGCTGCTATTCTCCCACCCCAGCCTATGTCGCAGCCCCCAGGTCTCATTGCAGCCCCAGAAAGCTAGGCTGTGATTCTTGGCATCTCTTTATCTTTGCACATGCTCCTCTCCTGCCAGGAAACACTTCCTTCTCCCCCGTCTTCTCAGTTGTACCGTCTCCTGGGTGGCGGTCAGCGGTTTCGTTCTCTCGGCTTCTACTGTTCTGTGTACTGCTCTGACTGTGTGGCTCTACTTATTTGCTCATTTCTCTGTCACCAGACTAGAGAGGGAGCTCCTGCTCCCAGCACCTTACACTGGTCCTGATGCTCAGAAAATGCTCAAGGAATTACAGAACAAATAAACAAAGATATGGTTATAACTTCCATCCCTTCGGAAGCTCCTCCCTGGCTCTTGGGGCCTACTCCTGGTGCCTTCACCAGCAGGCATCGGAGCTAGCTACTCAGGGGAAGGAAGTCTGGAGAGGATTTAGGCAAGAAAAAGAAATAAAAGGCATCCAAATCAGAAAGAATGAAGTTAACCTGTCGCTGTTATAGATAACATGCTTTTATATATAGCAGAGCTTAAAGACTCCACCAAAAACTATTAGAACTAACATACAAGTTTAGCAAAGTTGCAGAATACAAAATCAACATACAAAAATCAGTAGTGTTCCTATATACTAACAACAAACTATTTGAAAAAGAAAGCAAGAAAACAATCCCATTTACAATAGCATAAAAAATTACCTAGGAACAAATTTAACCAAAGAGGTGAAAGATCTGTACACAGAAATCTATACACACATTGACAAAAGAAATTGAGCAAGACACAAATGAATGAAAAGATATCCCATGCTCAGGGACTGGAAGAATTTATATTGTTATAGTGTTCATATTGCCCAAAGCAATCTATAGGCTTAATGCAATCCCTATAAAATTCCAATGACATTTTTCACAGAAATAGAAAAGGCAATCCCGAAATTCATATGGAACTGCAAAAGACCCTGAGTAGCCAAAGCAGTCTTGAGCAAAAATAACAAAGCTGGAGGCATCACACTACTTAATCACAAAATCTACTACAAAGCTATAGTAATCAAAACAGTATGATACTGGCATAGAAACAGACACATAGACTGATGGAACAGAATAGAAAGCCTAGAAACAAACCAAAGGATATACCATCAACTAACTTTTCAACAAGGAGGCCAAGAAGATACTAAAGGGAAAGGATAATCTTTTCAATCAATGGTGTTGGGGCATTGGATAAATGGAATATCCACATGCAAAATAATGAAATTGATCCCTATCTTCCACCATACACAAAAATCAACAGATTAAAGACCATATGTAAGAGCGGAAACCATAAAACTCCTAGAAGAAACCCTGAGAGGAAACCTCCTTGACCTTGGTCTTGGCAATGATTTATTAGCTAGGACACCAAAAGCAAAAATAAACACACAGGAGCACATCAAGCTAAAAAGCTCCTGCACAACAGGGGAAACAATCAACACAATGAAAAGGCAGCCTTCAGATTGGGAGAAAACATTCTCAAACCATATATCTGATAAGGGGTTAATATCCAAATATGTAAGGAACTTATGTCATAACTCAACTGCGAAAAGCAAATAACTCAGTTAAAAAGTGGGCAAAGGACCTAAATAGACATTTCTCCAAGAAAGACATAAAAATAGCCAACAGGCCGGGCATGGTGGCTTAGCACTTTGGGAGGTCAAGGTGGGGAGATCACCTGAGGTCAGGAGTTCAAGATCAGCCTGGCCAACATGGTGAAACCCTGTCTCTACTAAAAACACAAAAATTATCCAGGTGTGGTGGTGTGCACCTGTAATCCCAGCTACTAGGGAGGCTGAGGCAGGAGAATTGCTTGAACTGGGGAGGCAGAGGTTGCAGTGAACTGAGATTGTGTGCCACTACACTCCACCCTGGGTGACAGAGCGAGACTCCATCTCAAGAAAAAAAAAAAGGCCAACAGGTATATGGAAAGGTGCCCCACATCACTAATTGTCAGGGAAATACAAATCAAAACCACAACCAGATATTATCACACAACTATTAGGGTGGCTTCTAATAAAAGACAAGAAATAACAAGAGTTTGGAGAGGGTGTAGCAAAAAGGAAACCCACGTACACTGTTGGTGGGAATGTGGTTTGGTGCAGCCATTATGGAAAAGAGTATGGAGGTTCCTAAATAAATTAAAAATAGTACTATATGGCCCAGCAATCCCTCTTCTGCATGTAGAGCTGAAAGAAATAATGCTCCAGTTCCTGAAAATACCAACTGTGTGTCCTACAATTATCTGAATTCTGACACTAAGTGCCCGGAGCTAGTATAGCTCCCACAGGCTGAGGGCCCAGTCCCACAAGGCTACCTCCCCGGCTCCA